GGAAACTATATTTTAAATTTATTGATATAAAGACTTTATAAATCACTATTTACTATTCAAATTCTTGGTTTGGCAAAAAAAGGACGCGCAAAAAGACCTACTATTTCTTCTGTTAAGCACGGGTTAACCGATTAGAATATTATTTGGTCCAATCAAATTGGATTGTTCTGAAATTTCGCCACGGATTTTTCAGACCAGAAGCAAAATCCAACTTATCAAAGATAAAAATGCATGGTAAGGGAGCTAATTTAGTGACTTAATGTTGAAAAAGTTGGGTAACAGGTTTATTAATTTCAAGCGTAATTGTCTAGCAAATGTCCTACATGTGAATTTATACTTAAAGAAAATCGGTTATATGGATTTCTTCGAAAAAATGGATGTTTTGTGCTCAAGTGCTATCGCCAGAAGCAGTACAAACCAAACTACAAGAATTAGTATAAGGTATCAGACGAAGTTTGAGCCAGATGAAAAAACTAAGAAATGGAAATTATGTAAAAGATTAGCTAATATTGTAAATTGCTCGCAAATTTATCTGCAAAAATTATTAACGTTAATAAAATAAGAATTATTCGCCGAGTCTTAAGTAAAAAATTTACTACAACTCTTATCCGCTCACCTGTAGCTACTGGAAAACAAAGATAAGAAGAGCCTTGATTCTTAGCAAAAACTAGAGCAAATTTACGTTGTTTTGATTGTCCAGGTTGAAAGTACGCATCATTTTTATTCATACGTAAATAGTTCTCATGTAGTTATTCTAGATGAAAATGTTATGCAAAATTTGTTAAAGCCTGCTACTCAGGTTGTAGCTATGATTTTGCAATTAAGTCGACTTTAGTGTTTTAAAGCAATATCGAGGTAAAGACATAGATAAGATTTTCGACAACAAATACTACCCACGTAAAGATGAATTTGTAAAAATTCTTTATGACTCAAATAAAAAATCGGAAGCTATGCGTATAGTCTTTAAGATGCTTCAAGAAGGTACGCGCTTAGCCTTTTCTATGACTTTTTGCAAAAAAAATTTTAGACTTTCGCAATAAATTACGGAAACCAGACGGTTTTTCTATTTTAGCGCGTGTTTATTTTTAGTCAAATGGATGGTAAACAGCGTCAAGATGATTTCGCCAATATTAACGCTACTTGGAGTAGTTTAGATTGTGTAATATATATACAAGTACTGTAAAAGCCGGAATAATTAATACTACCGATTTAGGATAGAAGAATATTTACAGAATAATTAGTAATCGAGGACCTACGTTGTTAGAGAACCTTGAGTATATACAGAAATAAGGTTACTTACAGTATTTTTTGATTACGCAAGAGTACCGAGCGTTGTTATTTGATACAAGTTGATTTTATTAGTGTTAATACTAACTTAAAAATTCGATATCACATGATATACTGCATTCGGAAAGAATGTCCCCTCACAATAGAAACCTTCTCCATTCATAATGCTGATATTCCAGTATTCCCCCCATTAATCAAACTTCACAGCAAGAGAATACAGCATTTTCACATTGTTTCCATGCCGTATGTTACTTGTGAACTAACTTTAGGTCTTGTAATACCACTTTGCATTAACAATTGAATCCCTAAAATAAGAGATGAGTGACGCAGTTCACATGATTGTTCACACTACCCTACCATTCATCGTTCTATCATCTCTTATTCTCTCCACATACTCTAACATCATTATATACCTTAGCTCAACCCAAACAGACGCGAGAACAAGAAGACGTTACTCAAGAAGGGAGGAAATGCTTGAAACAGAAGTACCCGCGGCTACGCTAACCCTGATGCCGGACCGTCGAGATATACACGCATCGACGATGCAAGTACCAACACTGGAGCTACCAACTGAGGCAAGGAACCAAGAAGATTTATTTAAAAGAAGTTGTGTATATGCAAAGAAGAATAGAAATAATTTCAATATGAAGAGACTTCAGCAAAAACTGAGTGACCGTAGTCGCGACAGACTTAGTGAAACTCGGTGTATTGTTGAGACAGAAACACAGGATATTGACCATAGTATCGAGAAGTCTGAGAAGAAGAAGAAGAAGAAACATGAAGCAAAGAATAGAGAGAAGAATTTTGGAGAAGAAGCGGAAGAGAAGATTTTTGACCACCGTTGTTGGAAGGCGGCTGATAGCAAGAGTTCATATCTACGGGCCACGCAAGAGCCATCGAATTCATCCATCATATCCTCGCCGAACGTATCCGTTATAGTGTGGAAGTGCGATAATCCACCGAAGCTTCTCACATGGCTCGAGCATAGCAATAACCAGTCAATCGCATCAAGACAACATGAGGAGAAGTATTCGCCATTAACCATATACTCTTCTATATTTCCTTCCATACCTTCAGCTTCTTCATTATCTTCTTCCCCTAAACCTTTATCTACTTCATCCACCCCTTCCTTTTTATTTCCATCTTTGAATGCCACTACCACTACTACTGCTAGTCCTACTGCTATTATTCATTTACCTCCCACTTGGTTACGATTATCGCTAGCTCACCAGAACTTGTCAACATTACCCGACTTGTTTCTTCATCCACCACTTCGCCTATCACCACTCATCCACCTGACCCATCTGAACCTTTCTCATAACCAGCTTTCTTCCATTCCGCCTCAGATTGGATATCTACACAGCTTACGTTCGTTAGATCTATCAAATAACCAGATAACTGAACTTCCTTGTCAACTTGCAACAAAGTTATCAGCAATAGAGACGATAGATGTATGCAATAATCCATTGGCAACAAGTCAAATTGATCTGGTGTATGTTTCATCCGGGGTACCGTCGTTGAGTGATCTCGTATTCCGGTATTTGGTAAATAAAGATTATCGATTTATAAACAGCAAGAATGGGGAGTTACCGAATGTAGTAGGCAGTCTTCCGAGTGTGTTGAAAGAGAGATTGATCAATGAATGGCATCCAATGTGCGCAGTGTGTGATAATATTCATTTGGAGCCAGTCGCTACGATGAGGCTGTTAAAGTGGATTTGCTTAGTTCCCAATGTGCCACTGAGATATGAATTGTGTTCTGTAAGATGTGCGCGAAAGATGAAAATGGAAATAGAAAAAGAGAGAGAAGAAGTCAAGGAAAAGTTGAAAAGACGTAGGGAGAGGTTTGGGATTGATGTTGGGAGAGGAGAGAGTGGGGAATTCGCGGAGGGGGAAGTCGGGGAGTGGGAATTAAGAAGAGAGGTAAGGGAAGAGAGAACCTGACGGTGAGGGGAAGAGAATGAATGTCAAGTCAACAGACGGTAAGTCGCCATGTAGACAGCTGCATGGCACATTGGTCATGAGGTTTCATTTTTATTTCTGTCGTTGTTTACGATGACAGTTTTAGGTAATCCCTCTTCTCTCTTTTCTTTCTATTTCTAAAAAAAAAGAAAAGAAAAAGAATCATCGAGCAATGCGCAGCGACACTAATTCGACTCGAAGATAACTTTTGCTCACTAGCTGTCTGTAACATTACTCCTGCTGCAGAGAAAAAGGCAGAAAAAAAAGCTTAATATGGTCGCTTGTATATATTTAAGTGTGAAAAACTAATTACTCTTGATTTAGTCGACCGTTTTTAGAAATAATAAAGTGCATTCTCGAAAACTATTAAAACACTAACCGCAAAGTGATTTTATCGTTTTCAAATTTGTCTGCAAAACAAGAAAAAGATCTTAATTGACACGGAGTTGACTAATGTATAAATATCGTAAATCGTGCCAGAGTGGGAATAAAGAATCTATTCAGCTGTTGATCTCTGCTCCCCGGACAAACCTGCTGT